TGGGGGGGGGACGGGGGGGCGCGCGTTCCTAAAGAAGGTGTTCTATGCTTATTATGTGCAGGGGCTTTCCAAAGGATGGAGAGGAGAGAGCGTTACTTGCTGGAAGAGAAAACCCCTGGAGATGGGGGGAAAAGATAAAGAGGTAATAGTGTGCTTCCTCCCTTCGGCTGGTGCGGTGACCGTGCCGCATGGGGCACTGCCCTGACGGGTAATGCTCTCCCGAGTCGACCATTTGGGAAAGTTTCGAGCTGTAAATGGGCATCTTTCACTGAGAAAGGCGCTCCTATCCGCTGCCTTCACCAACAAAACCCTGTGATACAAGCTGACTAGAAAATAGATGTTACCAGTCGACATTGTGGTGAGGGTTGGGTTAAAACAGTACGCAGTCCCCATCAATGGGATTTTATATGCTTTCCTTACTCCCCACATGGTGTTGGGGAACCTTCGGGCGTTACTTTTCGGCATCATGAGGTGGCACAAAAATCGTAAGCAAACAGTGAGGTTGGAGCCTTGATGTTTGTTGAGAAATTAAACAAAAGCTGAAAAGCGGATTGTGATGGCTCAAAGCACGAAGCAGATCGACCCAGAACGATTTCAAAATCTTGTCATTTTAAAACTAATGATTTACTGTGAGGTGAATTGTACGTAATCTGTTGAGATAATTCCCATGTATTGATCCATAGTCTAAGCCTGTTGTAATGTTTTTTCAGCAGATTAAAAAAAACTTTCTTTTGATCTGTCCCATTTTCAGCTATAGTGTTCCTACACCATAAGCCAGAAGATGGCACTACAGGAATAGCTATTGCTGTAGGTGGGCCTGCCTGAAAGGAACCTTGCCTCTCCAAGGATGTGTTTTCAGTGTGACATACTGTCAATGCAGAGAGCTGTCTGTACTTGCAGCCAAAAGCACCCGTGTTACAAAACCAGTTGCAGCCTGAAAAATTGTACTTTTTCTTTTTTCATTTGGGAATCTGATCTCATATCAGAGTAGGCAGGAGGGAACCATGCAGGGGCAGCTGAGAGGAAAGAAGTAAAAAAGACTTTGGTGGGAATTACTGAATCTGGGTGCCCAGAGGTAATATTTGGCATCCTTACAAGGTCCCGTCAGGTAGAGCCTCCTAGGGGGTGCCCTCCTTGGGCTGGCATAGGCTGCACGTGAGCCCAGCACCCTGGTCTCAGGTCTGTTAGCAAGCCAGAGGCTGACAGGGAGATTCGCATTCCCGAGGATGCCCTGCTTACCCAGTTTACAGTTTTGGTGGCTTTGTTGCAGCAAGAAAATCTGGCAGGACACATCCCATCACCCACGCACAGGGTAAAGTGATAAGGGAGCTGAGAGATGGTAGATCCTGCCCTAAGCCACAGAAAATCAAACTTTGTCCAGGGTTCAGGTATCAGTTCCTGGGATCAGGAAATGCCTCAAACAGACAGCCGCGAACAGATTGACATTTTTCATACCAGGTTTTTTGGGACTAAGGGTTGTTGTAAAAAAATGGACATTAAAATCAATGATTCTTTTTTTTTTTTTTTTTTTTTTGTTTGTTTGTGTTTGCAGTAAACAGAGTAGAAATAAATACTGCAGCAGGACAGAGAGTGCAAATGTGTTGTTGGCCTCCTTTTTAGATGCTCATTCCAGTTTGGGATTGTGCTTTTCTTACAGCCTAATGGGACTTTACAGAGACACAGCATAGCCAGGATTAAGTGACAGTGGCATAGCCCTTCCTACCAGAGTCTGGTCCCTGCACCTCCATGCCTCATGTGGGCATAGTCACAGGATGAGTCTCTAATTCTGATTCTCCCCCTGTTCATGGTGATGCTTTCTCTTTGTTATGTTCATCTCCCATACCAGTAAATGGCCTGTCCATCCTTCCTGAGCTTTGTTACGGGTAGCTCAGGAGAGGGATATGGTTTGCTGTATGTTATTGGATGTAAATTTTCCCAAATTAGTAGCTCTCATGCTCTCTTATTGTGTGGCTAGTGGTAGACTTTTTCCTTTGAGACTCCAAACTGCTAGAGATGTCTGTGTTAACACTCGTAAACATTATATCCCACAGTCATACCCAGCATTAGCAATATCCACCTCTCTTGTATTAGAAGTGTTGCCAGTGTGATGTAAAGACACCAAGTTAGTGGGCTCCTGTACAGTCTGTTATTGCCCTGACCTGAGGACTCTGTGACATTTGGGCTTTGTTACAAATCAGTTTGGTTGAACAGTCTCTTTTAAGTCACCTGTTCATGTTCTTTTTTTTTTTTTTTTTTTTCTTCTTATGATTTCCTGCATTAAAAGGTCATTGCTACAGCTGGAAAGGACCTGTATTCTCTTCGGTGACTGCTTTGTTGGGAACAATGTCTAACGTGTTTACTACAGTAAATGTAATTGAAAGCGTTATCTTGCTGAAAAAATTGCATGTGGCCTTGCAAGATACAAAGTTAGCAAATAAGGGAGTTGTAGGTTACCTGGAGAAAAAGTGTTCAAGTGAAGCTCTGTGGGTAAAATAGGTTGAAATTAATTTTGCTTTGGTTTTGGTCAAACTTAATGTTCTCATTGTTCATCTGAGGAATACCTGTTCTCCAGACATGAAGACTGTATAAATATATTCAGCTCAGAACAGCCATATAAAACTAATTATCTTTTTTTTTTAGAAGAGGTATTATTTGCTGTCTCTTATTCCCACTGCAAGTAAAAGAAATTTTAAAGGAACCGGGCAAACAAATCTCATTGCGTGCATTTTTTTCTGTCAGATAAGTCACCTACAACTTTCCATGTGTATTCCTTAGCTGGGACATCAGTAGTCCTATTACGTCTGCAGCAACATCTGTTCCTGGGGAAGAGTGTTCTCCTCCAGGGCTAGGTGTGTTGGATTTGGTTTTGATAACAGATAACTCAGTGTGGAAAACTTATCAATTAATGTGCAGCCCTTGGATGCAAATGTCCTAATTTTTCTCAGAGCTTTTCCCATGCCATTGGCACGTACTTGGCTTTTAAATATTTTTTGATATCCAAGGTACAAACCTGAAGTGAAAGAACTGCTTATAGGTATGTTCTTCTTGGCTGATCAGTCATTCAAAAGAGATCCTCTGACAGCTGGTAAACACCATGTACAAGCCCTGAAGGTGATTTCTGCCAGATGGATGTCTCTG